GTTTGAATTTCAGTAAATTTTCCAACAACTACCACTGATATTCGAATTCTATAGGTACGCCCGAACAAATATTTGTAGACGCCGCTTTAGAATAAAATAAAAAAATAACCGTCGCCCGCCCTCCTGCCACCGCCAACGAGCAATACGCGTCGGTGGAAAGTTACTCAGTGACTGAAGGAACTAGCCTGTGTAGTGCAGACGTGTCTACCCGTCCGTTTGTGTACCGCCGGCTCTTACAATGGAGGCATTGATTCCTGTCATCAACCGATTACAGGACGTGTTCAACACTGTCGGTTACGATGCCATACAGCTTCCTCAAATTGTAGTGGTCGGATCACAGGTATGTTTATTTTCTGTCTTGGTAAGACTATGCCATTCTACCAAATATGTTAATTGTTAATAATTTTATGAACTCATATTATAATTGAGGTACTTTTTCCCATATCATCCAATGTTTTATACGTCATGAGTTCAATTTTATCAATGTATTACTTAATTATAGTTCTGTGTGAAAAAAAATGTCACTTAGATATAATTATATTCTTTACCACAGTCAATAATTACAATCTATCTTTTTAACTATCCTGATCTACAGAAAACAACTTTAATTTAATGAATTTCCTATTAAGGAAATTATTTATACATCATTTCTAACTCATTGTGTGATAAAAAAAATGGAAACATAGATACTTATTTCTTTTATATACCCAATTAGGTATTTATTAGATATTTTGATTAAATTCAATTTTTCATTGTCTACCACTATTTTATTCATAAACACTTCAAACAAAAATATTACATTCATAATTTTATCCTTATGCATCAACATTTTTTTTATCCAAAATTAAATTATGATAGGTACTTCGTACCTATACAACTAAATAAAAACATTGGGTATTAAAATTATTAATAAAATTAAGTAGGTATTTAAAATTATTAAAAAAATTAAGGGTAGGTACCTACCAGATTATTCAAGTTTAGTTTTTCCCGTTTTTTTTTTTTATTATTATGGAATACTATTTATATCTAGAACATTTCAACATTTTCCTAAAACATATTATACCAAAGAATAAAAATTAATCAATATGTATTTGTTTGTAAATAAAATCAGATCCTACTAGTTATACTGTCTTAAAGTTCTGTATTTAAAGGTTAACTGATTTCAGTTAATAGAAAGGTAGTAAATAGTACCATTAGTAGTGGTGTGGTAAGGTAGGTGATTTTGTGGTGAATTGAATTAGTGTCCATCTACCCTCTAAACTAAATTTTGACCTCTCAAAATGAAAATTACCGATTTAAAAACATAGTACCTATAATACACACAGTAATTATATTATTGTCTATTGAGAATCTATTTATATACCTAATATAATATTGTACCTATATAATTCTAAATAGTGTATCATGATTTAATTAATAATTTACAATTTTAAAATAGGTACCTACCTACTTTTAACTCGCTTTAAAATTAAAATATAATATTAAAACACCTATGAGAAAATGTCCTCTTATCTTTAAATTTTATAAAATGTCATTTCACACTAATTTTAGAAATTATTATGGTTGAATTTAAAATTTGCTATGTTGTGCGTGGGTCAGAGAGAAAAAACAAATAATACGCTGACATCCTGTTATCAGAAAATTATTGAAAATTAAATGAGAATAAATCTTTTTTTCTGGTTAAAAGTCTACATAAAAGATTTTAAGTTGTGTAGTCCTCCAATTTTTTTTTAAATTGAAGAAAAAAATAATTTTGATTCAAGTTATTTATAATAAAAAAATTAGGTAAGTGCATTATTTTGACATATTTGGGCATAAAAGCAATTTTTATGGCAATTTTTTGGGGTTTTCTTAGGACAAAACATTTTCTGCTCTATTTATAAATAAAAATGGCTTGGATTCAAATTCCCTTAATACGCCTTAATATATCAAAAAATGCATTTATGACCTAAAATCTCTTATAAATTTCCTAAAAAAATTCCCTGAGATTTCTTCAGGAATCAAGATAGGAACAAATGCTCGAACAAATGTGAATCATTTTATTTAAATACCAGATTACCTTATGTTGTTTTAGTCAGGTTAAAAAATAAATATTGTTTTTATGCTCTGGGTATTAAGGTTATACAATTTTAATGTTTAATTTTATTGTACATCCAAACATAATTTGATTTTTTTCATTTAACGTTATAATCTATATTTTTAAACATTATTTTAATTTTAGATTTTCTGTTACAAATAATTTTTATTGTCATTTTTTGAATAATTAACCATACTGATGTAAAAACTATCAAATTTGTTGAACTCATAGGCATCGTTAGGTTATTCTTAATTATCCTCTAGTCAACTGGTTTTAGTTAGTGCTAGTTTAGCTTTAGTTGTTAAGTTAATAACTTAAGTTAGCTATTAAGTAATTAATACAGTATGTAATATTTATTACATAGTTTAATTACTTAAATTATAGCCTGTACAAAATAAAAAGCACGCTGGCAAAACGGGTTTTGTTATTTAAATCTATGTGCTTCTTATTTTGAACAGGGTATACATTAAATATTATGTATATTCCCTAAAATAAAAATATAATGTCATAAATGAGGTAGAAAATATGTTAAATAGATTCTTATTTAAAAGACATTTGAATAATATATATTAATACCTTGACTCTTAAAAAATTTTAAATATTCAATATCACTATAAATTATTGATTAATATCTTTCTAATAAGTGTTGTAATTTGAAAGTTTTATTGGTACCTATGTGATTTAAGTTATATTTTTTATGGCATTTTTGCAGTTTTAATGTATATTTTAATTTTTTAAAACATTTTTGACATTTCTCATATTATCTATAACTAAAAAAATTTACATCATTGAAATATAAACATAATTTTATACTTCCATGTAATATAAATTATTTTCATTTTGAACTATATAACATCAGGTAATCTTCAGGTTTTTGATTAAATCATTATGATTTGAAATCCTGGTTTTAGCACAATACATGTATTTACATATTATATTTTTTCATAATATTACTGGAAGTAGTTTAAAAATTACCTAAAAAAATAAATAATGTCCTAAAAATGTTTAAAAATTCACTTAAATGTCCAAAACTTTCAAAAATGCCTCAAATAAAGTTTGTTGTTAGCATAGGGTATACTTGAAATACATTTGTATCTTGGAAAGCATCGTTTAAAGCAGTCCAGAAAAAAGATGCACATGCATTGAACTCTGAGCCCTAGTAATAACATACCGATTTACTCTCTGTAAAGTGTAATTGGACTGTAATATACTATTACTTTTTGTTCTGTTGTTTCTCAGTATAACTATCAGTCTGTTATCTAACGGTAACCTAATTGCTTACACTAAAATTTAAACTTAAAACAATGGGATTCATTCAACCACCATAAAAAAAATAAATAAATAAACATTGAAAATAGAAAAAAGATTTTTAGAATTTATGGATTATAGTTTATAGTAGGTAATATTATTGAAATTTGTGTTTATACAAAATATACTGTAAAGAATAAAATATATTGATTTAATTGTTATTTTTTGCATATAATAAATGTGCTAGGTACTAGACATTTATGTTTTCATATTTTAGTAATTACTTTCAAAATTACAGTTTATTATGGAGGACTTTAAAATAGTTGCTATTAAAAAGTTGTAGAGAGTTATAATTAGCTATTAAAAGTGATGATAACTTTTTTTTCACAACCAATGTATCACACATATATATGTAATATATTGTTTAAAACATTTAAAGTTCTGACTAAAAGTCCAGGGAACAAAGGCTTATATTTTTAAAAGCAAATATTATAACTATTTTAACAAAAAATTATGGGTCAAAACAGTAAGGATTTTTAAATGTCTCTGACCTACCATTATATTTGTAGACATACCACTGAATAATAGAAATAATTGCTATAACATTAAAAATGGCTTGGCATGTTGTTACTTTTTCTACTTTTTTATTATAATAAAACCATAAAAAAAAAAAAATAAATTTTATTTTTATTGTGGTCTTAAATATTATTTATTTAATATTTTTGTTACAGATATTTATTTATTCCTTCGTTTAAGTTATGTTTGTCCAATAGATTTTAGTTCTGTGTATTACAAAATATTCTAACAAAACTGAAAACCAAAATACTGATATTAAACCATTAATTATTACTAAAATCTAGAATGTATTTTGACAAATTGTAATCTATTTCTTTAAAAATGTGGCAGTTTTTCTTAAATTCAGATATAGAATTAACTGCAAATAAAATATAAAACTGTATGTAACTATTAGTTTTTTGTTCTTCTTTTAAATAATAGATAATATATGTTTGTTCGGGGTTTAATAAAACAAAATCACAACACATTTTTTTTTTACAGAGTTCCGGTAAAAGCTCAGTAATAGAAAGTATTGTTGGTAGATCATTTTTACCCAGAGGTATTGGAATTGTTTACTAGATGTCCTTTAATTCTTCAGTTGTCAATTGTCCTTTCACTGATAAGAACATAGAAGTTCAGAAAATGGTACTAGTATTATTTTTTTTACATATTATTATGCATTATATTATTGATGTAATAAAATAATCTTAATCTTCTTATTACATAATATTATAGGTACTGTTAATTTGGAGGAATGGGGTGAATTCCTGCATTGTAAAAATAAAGTTTTCAAAGATTTTAACGAAATACGAGATGAAATTCAATATGAGACCAACAAAGTTGCTGGCAGCAATAAAGGAATATGCCCCGACCCTATTAGCCTGAAAATATATTCCATACACGTATTGAATTTATCACTGTGGACCGCCTGAATAACAAAGTAGAGACACTAATAATTTAGTGTTAAATATTTGAAATGAATTTGTTTATTAAACTAAAAAATTGTAGGTTCTCTGTGGGTGACCAACCCGATGATATGGAATCTCAAGTGACAAATTTAGTTGTCAAGTATATTCAACATCCAAACTCGATTATTTTGCAGTAAGTACCGCCATACGATATGACAAATAGTGAAAGTTTAAAGTTGGCCAAAGAAGTAGATTCTGAAGGAAAGAGAACTCTAGCTGTAATCACTAAACTTGATCTAATGGATGCAGGTAATATTTAATTTCTTAAATCAAATTTTATGTAATTTTATATTTACTTTTTTGCAGGTACTGAGGCAGTGGATATTTTATGTGGTCGAGTGAATTCCTGTAAACTAGAATAATTGGTGTAGTTAATCGATCACAGCAAGATATAAATGACAATAAGGTATGTATGAAAGAAGAACTTATAATAATAATACAATATTAGCATGTTTCTTACCTTCAATTTTTTGCAGTCAATTGCTAATGCTCTAAAAGATGAATCTACTTACTTGCAAAGGAAATACCCGTCATTGGCAAACCGAAATGGAACTCCATATTTAACAAAGACACTTAACAGACTTTTAATGCATCACATTCGAGATTGTTTGCCAAACTTAAAAGTAATTATCAAGAAAAGCCTACAACTACTTTTATACAATTTTTCACTTACTAACCAATGGTCATCGACTGTTTGAAAATTATGCTAGCTATTTATTTGTTAGTTACTTGTAAAAATGTATGAAAGTATTTAGGTATTGTTATACTTTGAATGTAAATTATTATTATACAATCTATTATATTAATTTAAATATTAAGACTATAATATGGCAGACAGAAAGAAAGTCAACAGTTATCAACATAATTTACAAATTTTTTATTTTTAAGATGACGTAACACCCTCTGTCTTACAAATTCAAAACATATCAAATTTGAGTTCAGCAGAACCATTTTTGTGTTATCTTAAATATTATAGGAAATTAACATATTAACAAACTTAAAGGTTAGAACATTATTTGTGTTCTCTTGTTGGTTTATAATAGTTTATTTGTCAAGCAAATTATAAGTATAAAAAATATGGTATAAACTAACAAGAACTCAGTTAATGTTCTTACCTTAAGCTTGAATAGATCAACTCCCTCTAATATTAAACCTAACACAAAATTAATTCTACCAACACACATGTTCTATGTTGTACGTTGGTAAGGCGTAGACAAAAACATGTGGGTGTAGTGTCCGCTTATTTATATATAATTATAATATATATTTGCTTCTGTAATTATAATTTTTAAAATCAGGCTTAAATATAACCGGCAAAATATTATCTTCTTTAAATAAAAATATAATTAACAAAATCCTTCTATTCTACAAATGGTGAGTGTTTCTCCTGTAAGACATATTTTTGTACTAAAAAACGCACCGTCTCCAATGCCCATAAGTATAACATAATTTTATTTAAGAATAGGTATTATTCAAAGATTTTTTTAATTTTAATTCATATATTAGGATACAATTTAATTTTTAAATTTTAATTACTTATAGTATAAATGTTTTAATAATAAAAAAAATACAGAACATGTCCTCATCAAATTTAAAAAAAAAAGGTGGGTAAGTGGATGTCGCTCTGCTGTACAGTAGGTACAAGTGGGTCACTGTATAATGGATGGTATTAAATTTGAATTCAATGATCTAATATCATTGTATAAGAAAAACGATTCTGAGCGGTGACGGTATGTCAGTCTAGTATTAGACATATTATATACATATCTATGGTATTAAACAAAAAATTGACCTATAATAGGTACCTATAATAAATTCCAAATTAATCATATCACAATATCCATTAGATACTTATAACGCGTTATACATCAACAAAAACCGTGATACTAATCATAGATATATAATAGTACACTTTAGAAGTTTCAAGTACCCACGAATAATATTATTCAATCACAACAAAATAACTAAAATAGTTATTCTAGGTTTTTTAATATGTAATTTCGTCCAAATTTGAAATTAAAATGTCTGTAAAAAATAAGTGTGTTTATATATTTTTTAGATTTTTGGTTACAGTATGAATTATTTAAGAGAATCTTTGTTTTAAAATTTCAACTCTTAGTTATAAAAACTGAACATTTTATAATTTTTTAATTCCAACGATTGATTATTTTCGAGATTTTGATAAATTTTGTCAAAATTCCAACTTTAAATGCTTATAAAAAAAAATCGTGCATATGTATTTTCAACTGATATTGTAACAATATATAAGAAAGCTTGTATTAAATTTTCAGACTTTTTGGCCCACCAAATAAAATTTTATTGACAATTATAAAAAAAAAAAACTAAAAAAATTGAAAACTGAAAATGTCCCTAAACAGCTCAAAAAGAGTCAAAATATTTTCAAAATTGTATGGTGTATAGAAAATGCTAATTTAAACATTCAGTGAAATTTTCATGTATCTACAGTTGTTCGTTTTTGAATTACAACAAAATAAGGAAATCGCTACATGAGAAATCGAGTGAATATCCAATGTTGTAAAAATTTTAATTTCAAACGCTCATAAAAATTTAACTTGACTGTCCGGTAGAGATTTTTTTATTGATAAAGGTAGATAATCTTATAAGGAATCTTGTGTTTCATTTTCAAATCTTAGATTTAAAAGAAAAATTTTTACGAATTCTTAACTCAAAATAATTTGCTAATTTTCGTGATTTTTCCATATTTTGTAAATTTTTGAACTTTAAATGCTTATAAAAAAAATTGTGACTAAGGATTTTTAATATTTTTCATCTGCTTTTGAAACAACATATTAGGAGCCTTCTATTAAATTTTCAAGCTTTCGCAACCAACAAATAAAATTTTATTGATATTTCTAGAAAAAAAACTAAAAAAAAATGAAAAATGAAAATGTCCCTTAGCAGTTCAAAATAAATCAAAATATTTTGAAAATGTTATCGTGTATAGAAAATGCAAATATAAACAACCAGTGAAAATTTCATGTATCTACAGTCATTTGTTTTAAAGTTACACCAAAAACCAAATTCGATTTTTTGGAAAATCGATTTTGCGTAAAAATTCCCGTTTTCCTTAATTTTTATGTTGTTTTTCCCGGCGCTTGTGAAAACTACTGGGAAATGTTTACTTTTGACCCCCCAAAGTACCAACTAGATTCACTTTCCTATCAGAAAAGGTACTATTGAAGAAAATCGAAGCACTTTTACTGTCCCAAAACGTGATGACAGACACAAAAATATAAAAATATAAAAATATAAAATATAAAAACACACATCATTGTAAAACCAATACATTCATCGCTCCGCTCAGAATCTAAAATACTGAATTAAAATATTTAATTAATGTGTTGATTATTAGTACCTTATCTGCATGAAAGGGATTATCTATATGAATAGGAAAAAATATCTATCCTTAATATAACTTGATTAATTGTAAAAACTTTAATGCCCTTTGTAGTTTACAAGTCAATATTTGTGTATTAAAAAATAATTAAATCGTTGAGTTGTATGGTCTTCACTTAATGTTATTAGTAATGCTATGTATTAATAACTTGAATAAGTTTATGATCTGTGAATGGTATGGTTTTAGACTAGAGTAAACGTTATGGTTTCACAATTCCAATCACTATTGTATTCATTTGGTGATGATGTATCAGATAAGAGCCAAACATTGTTGCAAATTATTACAAAATTTGCTGCTGCATATTGTTCAACAATTGATGGTACTTCGAAGAATATTGAAACAACCGAACTGTAACTAAAAATGTTGATCTATTTTGGTTTTACATAAATAACTATTCTATTTAATTATAGATGTGGTGGTGCCCGAATATGTTACATATTTCACGAGACGTTTGGCAAGGTTTTGGATTCTATTCATCCTCTGACAGGTTTATCCAAAATGGATGTGTTGACTGCCATAAGAAATGCCACAGGGCCTAGACCAGCATTGTTTGTTCCAGAAGTATCTTTCGAGTTGTTAGTTAAAAGACAAATACGCCGGCTAGAAGAACCCTCTTTGCGGTGTGTAGAACTTGTACACGAAGAAATGCAGCGTATGATCCAACACTGCGGCATTGAATCACAACAGGAAATGATCAGATTTCCTAAACTCCATGAAAGCATTGTAGATGTTGTGACACAGTTATTGCGTAGACGTTTACCCACAACAAATGCAATGGTAAATTTTGAGTGTTTATGGTGAATAACAGAATTTATATTTATTATGTTAATACAAAAAGGTTGAAAACTTGGTGGCCATTGAACTGGCTTACATAAACACCAAACATCCAGATTTTCATAGAGATGCAGAACTCGTATCATTGATGATGAAAAGCGCTGAAGAAGATGAATATTCAAGACAACGCATGTTGAGAAAATACAATGTGAACAACTCTACGACTGGATGTGATAGAGACGTAAGTGTAAATGTGGATAAATTACTATTGGTGTACCAAATGGGAATGGCCTACCCTTACAGTAGCAATTTGTTGGTAATATTTATATATTTTAATGTTTTTAAGAGTGTCGCCAGTACTGGATCATTAAAGAAAACTCCAAAGCAGCATCAAGCGGACATGAATAGTGAAATGAATTCCGTAGAATCATCTCCAGCGACGACACCTGTGCATCAAATGCAAAATGAATGTATGCCTTCGACTATAGCCAGCAGTTTTAGCAGCATGGATTTGCAGAGTCCATCCAACAGGAACCTATCTGAGAAAGAACTGCGTGATTGTGACGTAATTGGTACATATTTGTTTCCACTTAAAGATTGTTATAACATTGTTAACTTGTCAAATGCTTATTAATTTTAATCGGTTTAATTGTTTGATGGTTTACAGAAAGATTGATCAAATCGTATTTCTACATTGTGAGGAAATCTATTCAAGATAGCGTTCCAAAGGCCATTATGCACTTTTTAGTAAATTTTGTGAAGAACTACTTGCAATCAGAACTAGTCACACATTTATACAAATCCGAACAAGTAGAAGAATTACTTAATGAATCTGAACATATATCCAATCGCAGAAAAGAAGCTATTGATATGCTTAAGGTATTATATATATGCCTACCATCATGTAAAAATTGGTTTTGAAAATCTTTCTCTTTCTCAACAGGCCTTACAGAATGCTAACAACATCATTAGCGAGATCCGTGAAGTGCATGTCTGGTAAAAATGTGAAGAAAATTTGATGTGTAGTATATAGTTTTTAATTAAATCCTCAATCAGTACATTGTTACAAATCCGCCATTATTATTATACTATTATTATTATTAAATGTAATGTACGGACCAAAATAACCTAGTACATACTATGGGGTACCATTAGTGTTAATTTCAATCACTCCCATGATGTCCAAACGTACATAAGTTAGTTATTACTTTGTAAAATGAAGGAAAAATTATCCTCATTCTTTTCATGCATACAATGACGAACAATCAATAAAAACCCATTAGTCATGAAATTATTGTATGCTATAAATCTAGAAACTAGAAACTAAGATTTTTTTATCCATAAAAATTCTATCAGCTTTATTTTATTTGTTGGTGATTTCAACACGGACTGCATTTATAATATTATACATGGTTTTTTTCCTACAAATACAGTAAAAAAAGTTTTTAACACTTATTTAATTTGATATTTATATTTCATCTATAATACTGTATTAATAATTATGAAACAAAAAAACTACGTTTAAAACAATTATTTGTTCATATAAGGTAATATAATACTATTTGATATTTCACACATTAGTGTGATCTGTTAGTTAATCAATTGTATAATTTTTTTTTAGATCGTTCAAGTTTAACTGTTCTTTAATGTTAGTGATTAAGAGAACTTCACGCACTTTTTTATAATAGTTATATGAACTACCTGTTGTTCATAAATAATGATTGATGTTTGCGATTATTATAATAAATGTAACAAGCTATCTGTAGGAAGTCTGTTTGTTACTTTGATCTAAATTATCAAGTTGGTTAAATTTTTTCATTGAACCATTAACCTCCGTCTTAACTTATAATTTTTGTATAATTTCAATTATTGAGAGGCTTAAAATCTGATATTTAATCTTAACCCTTTCAGTCCCAACTGCCATACTGTTTTCGCGTTATCTTTGTGATAGAAATGACAATTTTGATCCTAGAATAGTGCAGCCAACATCAAAATATGTACCATAGTGTTACCATAGACCTATTAAGAAATGGACTGCGCGTTCCCTATAGTACCCACAGGTTTGACGATTTGAACACTGAGTGAGAGAGACAGACTATAACTTACCCCGAATGTGGAAGAAATAATAAAATAGTTTATTTTTCTAAGGTTTGATAAGAATTATCTTAACTGATAAGAGTGATAAACAAAAATTATAATTTGATTTGGTACTTTTCAAGTTGTAAACTTTAAATTCGAAGTCCTGCAAACTTATAAGCCAACCAAAAGAAAGAATATTAGATCTTATTTAACAAAAACAATACATTTTTAATAGGTCTATGAGTGTTACCTACAATTTTACAATAAAATGTTATCTGTAGATATTTGTGTTTGAAAGGAAATATAGGTAGCGCACTAGTCGATACTAATAATAAGGCTAACGGTTAACATGGCGGCCGAGGCCCGTGCTGTTTACAATCTACTTACTACTTTCTAGTTTCTACTTAGTTTACTTAGTTGTTCTGAAAATGTTGTACCTTTCACTTTTGTTTTGTATAAGTTCCTAATCCTAATCTGAAATCTATCATAACAACATTATATTCCATTCCTCCTATCATCCATTTCTTTCTTGTTATACGTAATAGAAGGTCAAAAAGAGATGGCGTTTATTGATGTGGACAATATAAGACATTGTGAAATTACTACACTGATCGAAAACAAGATATTAGTGATGAATAAGGACCCCAGACCAAGTTCAAATTTAATCATTAAATAAGTTATAATTCATTAAAAAAATTATTTAACATTTATTTCATTTTTAGAAGATATAGAAAATTAAAATATAGGCATTTTGATTACTATTAAAATGAATACTCAGATTAATAATAGTGCAAAATAGACATAAATATCCATACCATTTAAAAATTGAATCTGAATATTTGAAGTGTTTGATTTCTCCATGTTTGAAGTATTTAAACCAAATTATTGTTTTAATATTAATCTTCAGTGGAAAAGGAAATATTATATAGGAATGTACATGATCATAAAACGCAATCAATAGAAAATTCAAAATAATTTTACTAAATTAATATGCGGGCATTGATACAAATATACAATGTAAATATAAAACAAGAAAGCATAAATTTCACTCAATACATAAAAATATGTGAAAATAAAGGACATTTTCAAGTATATGCAGGCAAACATTTTACAATTTAAAATGGGAAATTGAGTTTTATGGTAAACTAAAAAAGGTTTCTATTGATTTGCCCCATAGTCTCAGTGAATATAAGTAATTACTAATTTATAGACAACGATTAATGTGATGGACACAATACATACAGAATAAAATAAGACTTAATACATTTTGGGTGGAAACAAATAAAAATAAATAATTAGATAAATGATTAAAAACAAATGTATACAAATAAATTAGTTAAACAGCTATTTTAGTTTGTTTCTACACAAATAATAATTGTACTTTTTACATAGGACAATCTTTAATACAATTTAAAAAATATTATGAACAAAACATAAATTATAATACATTAAAATCTTTGTTTTCCTGTATCCCAACTTATTTTCGGTCTGTCATCCATATCCTAAACCTCCAATTATAACAATCTCCCACAACATCTACACCTACCATAAACAGTCCAATAATATAGCCCTCAATCACATTCAACCACCTATTTTTCTTTCATCGTACATTATAATAACCATTCTTACATCTTCTGATTTCTCGCTCCTAAAAACATAACTGAACCATCTCAGTTTATTCTCTCTTATCTTGAGAATGGTCGACACCACAATATTCTTCTTCTTACAGTCTTTACATATTCATTCCTTTTCCTATCTTCTTCCATCAGTCCACTCATTCATCTAAGCATTCTCATGATCTGCTCTATTTCCTTGTCAATCAAACAATACAACATAATTATTCTCACTACACTCTTATAGAATTCATCTTTCATTCACAATAAAATATATATAATTAACCATTAATGTTAAATAATTTATTGTACAGTAATATTTTCAGGTTATTATTCTTATTATAATATATTGATACATATAAAATAAAATTTACTAAGATACTACAAAATTAAAAATTATTATATTAATAACTATTTTGTAAGTTTACACTTTTACGCCTTGAGCGTAGATAAGTATATAAAGAGAGAGAAAGATGAGAAATAAGAATGCGAGTACAAATAAAAATTAAAAATCAATGATCATAATATTATATTAATATGAATATAATATTACTACGCAGTCATGAATGCTGGTTGTGTATAAAGGGTGAATGTTTTCTGATAACTAGGGCTCGGAAGTTGTTGCATTTGCATGATTTTTTTGAACCATTAGATTTATTGCTAAGTAAGCTAGAAATTCATTTCAAGACACTACGAAAAACATATCAAAAGTTTTTAGTGCATATTTAGTGATTTTTAGATTTTAGAGCATATTTCTTAATTTTACAATTTTTTAAAGCATATTTTATAATTTATGGATATTTAATATGAAAATTTGTAAATAAAAAAATAAATACATTCATATTCAGAGACCTTACTAGATATTCTTGAATCGTATTATTCAAATTTCCATTTGACATTAAAAACTATGTTTTTCCTCTATTGGTTAATATGATATTCTATAAATATATATATAAATTACAACTACAGCTAGCTTTATCTAAAATAGAAATAGCTGCTATCGAAATACGACGATTTTCTATAAATACTTTTATAAGAAAATAACTCAATGATTATTGACTATTGTTAATGGCATTTATAGATTTTAGGTATTTCAGGTATATAAATATAACTCGACAGAAGTGCATTTTTTTATTCAAGGAACATTTTTAATTTTTAAAGCGATTTTTTTATTATTATTTTGTTTAAATTATGATTAGAAAATATAAATCATAATAAATTAATAACTTATATTACTTTGCTTTTTTTTTATTTACAAATTTAAAAAAAATATTTGTACAAATGAAAATGTTGTGTAAAATAATTAAATATAAGTGCATATTTTTAGAGCATACTTGTACTTTTTTAAGCGCATAAGTGCATGCATATTTAGTACTTTTTAAGTGCATTAAGTTCCGAGCCCTACTGATAACTGATAAATATTAATCATTGATAGCGGTTTTCGCGTCGCATTCCAACCATAAAATATTTGGCCGCATGTCGTTATCAAAATCAGATAAGCCCTACAGGGCATCGTCAGTCTGCCCGTTCAGGCAACTCACCTATATTAGCTTCTTTACAAGAAACAGAAGCAACTCCGGACATCAACAAGTATTTATAATCTTCAAGTCTCATCGAGTTTTCAACTTCTACTCGAATTTGACTAGTTGTTGCTCTAGGTTCAAGTCTACTACTAGTGTATTCTTCTTGTTCTCTGTCACTCTCTGTCAGATTAATAACCATTGAATTTTCCTGATTTATCAGCTTCACCGATATCTAAGACCCCACACTTAAAAATGGATCAAAACAAGGAAAATGTAATAGATCTAACCCTAAGCGATAATGAAAAAGAAGGAGACACTAGTAGTGGAGTATTGTTTAAATTAGTAAATAATTATAAAGTAAAAGTAAAATGGCATACAGTGTACATTATGATAAAAGTTCAATACAATTGTTTTTTCTAATTTATAAATTAGAAACTAGAAAGACAAATTCATTCTTTATGTAATTTACATACTAATTTAAAAAAAATAGATTAACTTTTTTTAAACTGAGTTGTGTTAAAATTTTTTCTATATTAACTATTAACTTGTCGAGTTAAATTTATAATTTGTTAACTGTTAACTTTTAACTTATCAATCTTGTGTCCTCTTAACTTAACTTGAGTTAATTATTTTCATTAACTTGCCCACCTTTGCGGCGATACCAAAAAAAAACAATGGATCATTGTAAAATCAACTCATTCATTGCTCTTCGGTGAGTCATTAAAAAAAAAATCATTAAAAAAAAAAACAACAATCAAAGACATTATATTTCTGAGAATGACTGGGCTGTAGCCCTCTTAGTAAAGTAAAACCTGTCAAAAATATTTCAAAAAGTAAAACATAAAATAATTAATAATAATACTTAATAAGTACCAAGGTAGGTTAGGTCATAATAAAAATCACAATTGTGCCTAAAAAAATTAAAACTTTAAGTACTTGAAATGTCTCCAAATTTATGAATTAATCATGGTTCCTAAAATTTAAAAATGTAATGCAAATAATTAAAATTAATAAAACTTAGGTACATGGATATTTTGTAAATGATAACAAATTAATGGACGAGGTCCAACTTGCCCTAGATTGTATCCATCCATGGTATGGCCTGCTCTTCTTAAGAACATTAAAATATCATTGTCCTTATTTAATATTTGAATATAGTTCTTAATTAGATATATAGCATCAGCTCGATTATTATATTTTTCTCTATAATATATTAATAGTCTTTATAGGGAATCTCACAGAATACCATATAAGGTAAAAAAAACACAAAGTATTTTTAAAATATATATCCATTTATTTAATTTAATATAATTCAAGCTTTACTAAAAAAAATTCTATCAGTCTACTTCACATTAGAATTATACAAAACTAAGTACCAAAAAAATAATAAATATCGGCCGTTGAGCTTTGCTTGTACAATATTATCAAACATAAGAAACGACATTAAAAATTGTACTAACAAATTTATTGACTAGAAACTTAAAGTAGTTTAAAAAAATTAATGTTTCGCACGGAGTTTCAGTTACGAAATAAAAAAAAGGAAAAAAATAGTTATACGTTTATTAGGTACATTTTTTATATTATAACAATGTAGATAAAAAAAAGAGGACTAGAAAGATTTATTCGTATTACAAAATAGTTTAAATAAATAAGGACTAATCGTGATGTATTATTAGTTATTAGGTTTATTTAACTAGTAGGTATTTAAAAAACAAATACAATAATACCAGGTTGCATGAAGAATTTATTAATTTAACAGTTCAATAAAATGTAATGGACCAATCATGTTTAAAGGATCTTTAGCTCACTATTGATTCGTTAAATTTTTAGTGATTGTTCATGCAACAGGGATTAAGTATTATATTTTGTAATAAGCTTCAGTTATACAGTAAAAAAAATTTGATACGGACAAGTAATTTGTTAGTACACAAGTGCAAATTTATTATTAACGTATACAAACAGTAAGTAGACATTTAACATTAAAATGTAAAATAAAACTAATAAAGTCATAAAATAAATATAATACCAACTCATTTTTCTACATACTAGTTTATAAAACGGGGCTTTGAATATAGTTATATCAATATGGTAAAGAATGATAATTACCAAGCCCCAACAACTTTATTGCAATTGGAATAAAAAAAAACTAGTTGTTGAAATTGTTAGAAAAACAAATTCTTCAACATAACAAATAATGAAGTTTAGGCAACACGTTTTTTGTACACGCACGCAAAACTCGTACTGACCTAACATAATACAAACAATACCTCAATAGATCTACATAAAAAAAAACCGTTGACGACAAAGAAAATGAAAATCTATTCAACGGACAATCCAAAAGTGGTAAGGAACACACACTATGCCGAACACTGTGGTATTAGTAATAATGGTGGTATATAATAAATCTTTCTAAAATTAAGGTTGTAAAAAAATAGGAATTTTTTAATAAGTCCAGAGATTTTTTAATCATAAATACAATTTATCACAAATATGCAGACATGTGACACAGAAATTTGTATAGTATGGTGGCATGTTATACAGAAAATTGTATGTTTTTTGAACTATTGTCATGAATATTCTTGAGGTAGTTTTGTTTACTGACGTTAAATACGAATGTTGCGATAGATATTATGTGTTAAAATAATAACTATGAGTAAGAAAAGATACCAAATTATATATTTTCTATTAATAACCATGTGTATTTGTGATGGACAAACTCTTAATTGATGCCTCTCACCGGAAATAAATTATTGTGAACAATTTAAGCATCAAAAGAAATGTAAATTATAGTTTGGTAAATTTTAAAATGATGTACTTTTGTAATACAATAGCAGAACCAACCCTATGTTGTAACTTTTAGATAATAACAAACAGGGCCGGCACTAGAAATATTTGCGCCCTGGACGAAACCATATTTTGGAGCCCTTTCCCCCAAGTTGATAATAATAATTAAGGGGATCGCAACATACGTATTTTTTGTGCGTTAAAGACCAATAAGTGGCGGTAAATTACACATACTTCCGAATGTTCGATTTTAATTTTTATTATAAATATGAATTCTTTGGCAAAATAACTAGGCTTTCTAAGAAGTCGATTTCCAATTATAAAGGACCATAACATTTGGATATTTTTTTAAAAAATCTCATGAAATCATTGCATTACATTTGTCTTTATTTTGGGCTTTTTGGGTTTTATATCAAAATGGTTGAACCCTTTCAAGTTGATTCATATTGCTTGTGGTGTGAGGGTTCTATATAACTACAGAAAATTCAATAATAGATCTGATGAGCGCACAATATAAAGCTTTTAGTGGAGTTATCAACTTAAATTTGTCAGAAACCCGATTAAGAGGACGTCGCATCCGCATGTGTTGTCTCTGTCTTACACATGTACGACATACCAAATGTTCGTTGGCTAGTTTCAATAGGGTATTGTCAGTTTTTATAATACAGTGAATTGACCTATTATCAAACTTTTAGGTAACAACATTATCTGTGTTCTCTGGTTGGTTTTTTACGATATTTTAATTTTTAAGTGAGTTATGAATATTTTAGGTCCCACAAAGTATTTAAATTCCAAGTAAGTGCGACCTCTATACAAAGATTCTGAGCAACATTTGGAGACATTAAAGTCCAAACTAATATTTATAGCCCAGGCATCTAATGCGCACAAGTCACTTTGAAGTAATTGACAGTCGTGTACTGAGCGTTATATGAATTTATTTATAAATGGGTAAATATCATCGAGGTATCGATGCACTGTTATATTCTTACTAATTACGATAGTTCATTATACAAATATGAGATAATTATAATTATTATTATTATTATTAAGGCCCCTGCAACTGTGTCATTTTTAAGGAGTTGTGTTTAGGCAATTATTTTGTTTCTGCGATGACTGATTGTCTTAGTGTGTGTAGTAAATGATCATTAGTGTGTGTATACTCCCCTACCATCACCCGCGACCCACTTCAATTTACAATACATTGTTATTTCTTATCTGGTTTATGATCGCACGCACGCACTTGCACAAGTCATATTATAATGTCTAGATCAAAATATTCAAAACCAATTTATGGACGTGAAATAGCCGTCGCACTGACAAAAATTAAGGTACTTCTGGTGGTTCGATTTAAAAAATATAAAGATGTTTGTGTTGGTAAACAAGTTTACTTTGCATCGGTCTGAGCACTTTTTCAATTTTAGCAAATTCTTGATGAGAATAAATATTTTACATTTTATAAATTTATAAATTTTTAGTATTGAATATATTAAAAAATATCTAAAATATAAAAAAAATGCTCCGACCAAAGCAAAGTAGACTTGTTGACCAATTAAAACATCTTTACATTTTTTAAATCGAACCACTAGAAGTACTTTAATTTTTGTCAGTCACTAAGGTCGTTTTGATGAAGAAATAATAGGGTTTGCATGGGCCTTAATCTTCAATTAAAACGACATTAGATAATGAATATTTTAAATTGTATAGATAAATAAAAGATAAATTAAATAAAAATTATTTTCAGTTTTGCGCCCCTTCCGTGCTGGTGCCCTGGTTAGGTTAGGGCAGTCGCACAGGTCGCCCATAGCTTTCGCCGGCCCTGATAACATTACCTGTGTCGCTACGTTGGCTATTTTAATTTTTATGTAAGCTGAGAGGAAGTAAAATATTAAAATTTAAAAATGCTTATAAATTGCAAAAAAGTTTAAATATAATGAAAAAGCCAATTTAGCAATACAAGTGATGTTCTTAACTTGGTTTGATAATAGGCGAATTCACTTTATTATAAAAATAACACAGGGTTGGTTCTACTAAATTTGCTATGTTGCTCGTGGGTCAGTAATAGAAAACAATGGGTGTGCTGACATCCATAAATTGAAAAAAACTTGATAAATATGTTGTTTGTGATTGATGTACATCACGTGTACACATGCGAAATAGGTTTATTTTAAATGAAAACTTTAGAATGGAGTTTAAGTAATTACAAGTGTTTAAATCAATACGATTTAAAGAGTATTCTTTAAAATTAATACATCAGTAGTTTATAAATGCTCACTTCTACAGTTCTATCACAATCTCTATCGTTTTTAACTATAAGTAAACGGTACAAATACCGTTATAAAATAAGTATATAGGATGATTAGCGATGTTTAAATTTACTTTAGTTTCTAACATTGAGAAACATTATCTCATACTAAAATTAGATTGCACTATGAATTAAACTATTCTTAAACCAAACTTACAACTAAGTATACACAAATTAATCCGTTTTTTCTTTCTAATGTCAAGTTACAAAATTACTCTGTACAACCAAAATAATAATTGTCTTACTAATGGATGAATTTGATAAATACTTAGTTCTTGTAACACATCATGTTTAAAAGATAATAATAATATTTTATTGGCCACAAATACTTAAGAGCACGAAGGAAAGATATAAAAAAATATATTTCATCAAAATTAGATCAACTTGATACAAAATGTACATAATTTCTATAAATCTAAAGTATAAATTATTACTTAGTACATTTATTTTATTGATTTAGGCCTAGAGGATGATTGGTAATTTCTAACTTTATTACTGGGTTAGTCTTCAATCCATACATAGAAATTAAAACTTAATGGCAACCTCTTAAATCATTTTTACAAAAAAAAAAAAAAAAATTAATAAATAATCTTTAATAAAAACTCACTTGGGTTTATATATTATATATTTACAAAGGCGTTTCTTTTCGCCATTTAAAACTATCTGTGGGCAAATGAGGTGTTTTATTTTTACGTCCAGCAGCCATTTCTAGACCATTGCGAATAGCTGGCATTATTCTTAATGCTGGGTTCGTAACAATTCCATTACGTTTTTGCTTAACGTTTCCCAAATTCTTATTGTAACTGTAAAACAAAATATTATAAATATTAATATATTATACACTACATAAAATCACAAATAGTACTTTGAATCAGAAGTGGATTTTTTTAACACAGCCTTGTTACCAAGAATAATTCGCATATGAGTGTCACGTGAAAAATGATCATCCGTCAATACTGAAATAATACAAAAATGTAAGGGCATGCATGTATAAAATACAGTTCTTAAGTAGTCAGGTATATCCTAAAAACAATTAAATAAGCAGCAGTTATACCTATACCATGAAATATTCCATCTAATATGCTTTTAAAATGTTTAAAATATGAAAATAAAATACTGCAAGTTATCAATAAATGTTAGATGATATTGGGAATATTAATTGTATTTATTTTCAGATTTTAAATTAATACAGTCAGCTTTTTATCTAATATTGAATTATAGTCCAAACAACGGTATTTTAAATTGAAAACAAAAAAATAATAGCATAGCATATTATATATTTTTACAAGAAAAGGAACTTTTTTTATAAAGAAAATACTATAGAGTGCAAACTGTTCAAAACAATATTTAAAAGTGAGTATTTTTGAATCTGGAAAACAATTTATTAGGAATACAGTTTAATTACTAGTTTTATTGTTAATTTTCAAACATAAGATACTAATTTAAAAATGAAAAATATGCCTATATTAAACTATTTCAGAATACGATGGCAACTTGTGATGTTTATAGTAGATGGTATGCAAATTATTTCAAGTCCTTTAAAAAAAAATATATTAGTCAAGTTCAAATTCAACATTTTTGAGACAAAAATTTAAAACAGTAGAAACAGGTGAAGTCAAGAAAATAATGCCAATACGGCGATATTGGTACAGGTAAGCAACTACGTGTGCAGTAGTTTCTGTACACCAAGGTCCTTTTATTTGTCAACGGCTAAAAATAGGTATTTTACAAGGACCGACTGTGTTCTGACTGACCTGTACACTAGTTGATGTTTATTTGTTACATAAATCATCTGAATTTTAGGAGTATAATAATTGTCGTTTAAGCGAATATCAAATGTTTTTAAAATGTAATTTTCCAGAATAAATACAGTTTAACAGATATTGTATTAAAGATGAATTTTAAAATATATTTTATACTATTACATCTATATGATGTATGCATCTGCAAGAACCACCAGTGTCAAAATAGCTTAAATAAAAAAAAAACAATGTAAATTTAATGAATTTCAAGAAATAAAACATTTTTAAATTTACAGCTAAAACTAATTGTTTGAAATTTTCAATTAACTTTCTTAGATTATACAAAAATATTGAAAAATTGTAATTTATACATTTCAAAATCCAATAATTGCATTACCTTGCATACTTGGAGCCGATGGTTCTTCTGAATTGGGACTGTGAGGCGGTGTTGCATATATAGGACTCTGCAGAGGGCTTAGAACTTTAGAAGTGGGTCTCGACTTGATACGTCGACTACATTGTTGTAATTTTTGTGTAAACGTCAATGGTGTCAACTGCAAAAACAATGATATTATTTACCATTTTAAATATTATATTATCAACGTGTGTTTTGCCAAAATGTTTTTACTTGTGTTGGTAAATCTTGGTGAGAACTTTTAGTACTATCAGTCAAATTAGAACTAGATTTACTATAGTTTGAAACAAACGATGTTCGTTTAGCTGTTGAATCTGGTGATTCAATTGGTGATGAATCATGAATCGGAGCATGATTGGTGCAAGATAATAATGGATTAACTAATATAGCCGAGGATGGTTTAGTTTCAGTTGTTGAACCAGAACCACAAGAAGTATTAGCTGTATTAAATCCGTTACCTAAAAATATAATTAATAATTTGATATAAAATTTATATAAAATTATTAATTTATTAAACATTTAATGTTAAATATAATTTATTTTTAATATTACTTTCGTTTTTTATAGGACAAAATTGTTCAAGTAGCTTAACAATATTGTCATGACCACTTTTAGCAGCAATTTTTATAGCATTTCTTCCACAATGGTCAGATACTAATGGATTTGCACCTTGCATTAACAATAATCGAACACAAGTCTCATTACCTTCTTGAGAAGCAATGCCTGTACAATTTAAAAACAAAGCAATTAAATTAATGATAAATTGTTAATAACACAACTTCCTTGTTACTTAGCATAGTTTTATATAAAGTTTTATAAGTTTTATAATAAAAGGAATGATATGTATTAATATTAGTCCATAAGGTATATTAAATTATACTGTGCAGTTATGAGAAATCTTTACAAAAATTGTGTAAAAATTTAAAATTCAATAACTAGAATACATAATGGTTTTATTATAAACAATACATTTACAAATTACTGAAGTCAGAAATTCAGGATTAAAAATAATAATAATAATAAAAATAATATATTAAATAGATTAAGGCCCCTGCAAACCGAATAATTGTTCATCAAAAGCGACTGACAATTAAAGTACTTCTAGTGGTTTGATTAAAAAAATGTAAAGATGTTTTAATTGGTCAACAAGTCTACATGTTTAGAATGTATTCAATACTAAATAATTATCTTTTTTTTTTAATAACAAATGATTTAAAAATTTCTGTTTTGAGAAACAATTTGTATGTACTTGAAGAGCATACAAATCTGTGTTTTTATATTATTAATAACTTTATGAACAAAAAGATTAAATTTGAAATGTAAAATAGAAATATTGTACCTATTATTTTTCTTTTTACTTAAGTAACCATAGTTGAGTTTATTAAATACATATAATATATATTTATAAGTAAAAAATGGTATTTATCAAACATAATTCTATAAATCGATAATCTATGATCAGTAAATACATTTTTAATTTAAAAATAACTAGTTAATTACATTGGTTTTGAATATTTTGAACTAGACATCAAATGACATGTGCATGTGCGTGCGTGCAACCATAAACGAGATAAGAATTAACAATGTATTGTAAATTGATGTGGATCGCGGGTGATGGTAGGGGAGTATACACACACTAATGATCATTTACTACTCACCCAAAGACGATTAGTAATCGCAGGAACGAAATAATTGCCTAAACACAACTCCTTAAAAATGACTCATTTGCAGGGGCCTTAATAAATAAATTAAAGTTTATGTTATTATAATTTAACTCAATACTCTTTTTTTAAAAACATTTTGAAAATACTGAGCATAAAAAGTAGTAATAAAAAAATATATTAAATAATATAAAATCAAGGTATTTATAATTTTACTTTTATGTATAATAATAATTTACCCAAAGCTGTTGCTCCTTGATTGCACGCATGATTAACACTAGCACCATGTTCAATTAATAATCGGACGATGACAGAATGTCCTTGCCATGCGGCCAAGTGAAGAGGTGTTCTATTTTCATTATCAGTTGCGTTTAAATTAGCTTTTCCAAGTTTTAACAATAAAGATACCATTTCACAGTGACCTTGCCAACAACTAACATGTAAAGCAGTACGGCCCTAAAATGTAAAAACATTAGATTATTAGTGAATTTTTCTATAATTTCAAAATAAATAATTCATTACAAATAACACATTACATTTATTACAATATTAATTATAATAATTACAGCATTAATGACACTTATTTAGTTGATAACTTCATCCTTCGAATATTAGTTTTAATCGAAGTTAGAATTCATTAAAAATTAAATTAAGGCTGTTGAAAGCGGACCATTTATAAGGGAACATAATATATTCTCAGGGGATATATTATATCCCCCGAGAGTGCTGTGTGACGGATCGTTATTGTACACGAGTCCCCGAATGCATTATATAATTAAAAATAAACTATGGCTGAGATTCTTGAAAATTCTTAGCATACATATACGCATCACACTTTACTATAACTTTATATCAAAAAAGTTTCAAATTCAATGGCTATGAAAGATCCGAAAAGCAAAAGAAAAATTCATCTAGTACCGAAAGCACAATTATAATTTTGAAAACATATTTGAATTCCTTATTCTCTACTCTAAGTTTTGTAGAAAATGAATGTGTTTTGTTGTATCAAATAAGCTTTCTTTATTTTTCAATATGCATTTTGGGCTCTATTGTTACTAAACAAATAAAAAATTAATTTCTCACAAAACTGGTATGAAAATCCCAAGAGACTTTGTAATATGGAAGTTTTACTGCATATAAATATTTTTAAATATATTTTGACCGGTTAATAATTATCTTTTTTTTTTTTTTAACAAACAATGATTTAAAAATTTCTCTTTTGAGAAACAATTTTTATATACTTGAAGAGCATACAAATCTGTGTTTTTATATTTTTAATAACTATATGAACAAAAAGATTAAATTTGATATGTAAAATAGAAATATTGTACCTATCATTTTTCTTTTTACTTAAGTAACCATAGTTGAGTTTGTTAAATACATATAATATATATTTATTAGTAAAAAATGGTATTTATCAAACATAATTCTATAGATCGATAATCTAATTTAAAAATAACTAGTTAATTACTAAAAGAAAAATAATAAATAATATGTGTTATAATTTTTGAATTATAATTTTGCAATTATTTGGTCATTTATGCAATACTTTTTCTTAATATACAAATCTGTGTTTTTATATTTTTAATAACTATATGAACAAAAAGATTAAATTTGATATGTAAAATAGAAATATTGTATCTATCATTTTTCTTTTTACTTAAGTAACCATAGTTGAGTTTGTTAAATACATATAATATATATTTATTAGTAAAAAATGGTATTTATCAAACATAATTCTATATATCGATAATCTAATTTAAAAATAACTAGTTAATTACTAAAAGAAAAATAATAAATAATATGTGTTATAATTTTTGAATTATAATTTTGCAATTATTTGGTCATTTATGCAATACTTTTTCTTAATATGATTTGAATTCATAATTATTTTAAATAATGCAGTAAAATAAATGTACAGCTTTTTTAAGTTAATTAGATATAAAACAATTTTGTTTGTATAATATTGTTTAATTTATGTTAAAAAAAGGTTTTTAATTAAAAATACATGGTACTACGGTACTAACTTCAGAATCTGTACTTTCAACATCTGCTCCACCTGGGTCAATAAAAAATTTGGCCATTGCTAAATGATTTTCAAGAGCAAGGACATAAAGAGTACTTCGACCATCAGCATCTTTTTTGTTAACGTCAACTCCATGTTCTACAAGACTCCTAACTACTTCAATATGACCTTCTAATGCAGCTAATCTATAAGCATACATGAAATATTAAAAATAGTTTACATCTTTTATTATTTAAACAATAATAATACCTTAAAGCAGTTCTTCCATCATGAGCTTTTTGATCCGGAGGGGCTCCATAGTTTTTTAAAAATTCACTTACTAAGTCCGAATGCCCTTCTTCTGCTGCTAACATTAATGGTGGTTTACCATCATTATCAGTTTGATCAATTTTTGCTCCACTCTCCAACAATGTTCTGCAAACAACCTGATGACCTTCAAATGCAGCATAATGTAATGGTGTCCAACCAGAATTATCTCTATGTTGTTCATCAAGACCTATAATATGAATAGATATAAACAACTACAACAATTTAACAGTAAAACTAATTAAATAGTCAAATTAAAACAAGAATGTCCAGTACTATCGAGGATTTTTATTCACCAAGCTATATGAAATCTAGTTATTTATTTAGTTGTGGTACATAACCAAAAATGTTAATTAAGTTAGATTAAATGGTTGGTAAATTATTTAAAAATAAAACACATATTATAAAAATACTTAAAATAATACCTATTTTTGAAGGAAATTTCAAGTTTTTTCCCCAATCAATGAAAAAAATTCCTAGATTATAGTTGCCAAAAAAAGGATATATATTTAAAAAACAATTAATACTGTAAAAATCACTTGAAAACAAATATAATTTTAACAATCTTGATGTCATTTAACATATATCGATCCTATAAAATCAAAAATACATACCTCTATCTAGTAGCTGAGACACTACAACATTATTCCCTTGAGCTGCAGACACACTGAGCACAGTACGACCTTCATTGTCTATGCTATCTACATAACAACCCCAAAATAACAAAAGTGAAACACAAGCAGGATGTCCCATTGATGCAGCAGCCCATAAAGGTGTTCTACCTAACTTATCACAATGGTCTACATCAGCCTCTGCTTCTAATAAAATCTCGCAAACATCTCTGAAAAAACAATTAAGAATAAAATTAAAATGGTCAATAATGTTGTTAATTAACTTTTAGTATAATACCTATGGCCTTCGAATGCTGCAACAAGTAAAGGTGTCATTCCATCTTTATCTTCGTGATCAACAAAAGCTCCAGATTCCAACAATAAAGTGACAACCTTGGCATATCCTCCATTAGTAGGTGCACATAAAGCCGCAACACTCAAAGCAGTTCGGCCATCACTATCTTGATGATTAATATCTGCCCCAGTTTCCAGCAATCTTCCTACAATATGCGCATGGCCCATATACGCTGCAGCAATCAATGGAGTTCTACCATCACCATCAGTAGTATTAGGGTTTGCGCCGGCTTCTAGTAATTTCATCACAACATCATTGTGACCTCCCCAGGCTGCAGCACGTAATGCTCCACGCCCTTCACAATCAGAGCATTCTACATTGGCTCCATGTTTAAGTAATAACTCCACCACCTAATATTATAATGTATATTATACAATTTATAATTTTAGTGAGTCAAAATGTATGTTATTACTTGTGAGTGACCACCCCATGCAGCAGCTCTTAAAGCAGTCCATCCTTCAACATCTGCATGATCTATTTTACAGTTATATTTTAATAGAAGCTGAAACAAAAATAATGAACTGAACTGTAACAACTGTTATTAAAGACAAATATCAATAACATAAACATATAATTCTAAAAATGTATAGATGAGAAAGAAAAAGTATTGTAACAGATAAAAACAAACATAATTTCAATTGTCATTGAGTTGTTAATTGTAAATTTAAATTAAATGATTTGTATTTATTTATAAAATATGATAGAACATTAGTTATTGGAATACTCAAAACTATGTTTATACCTCTACAACTTCAAGGTAACCGTGACGTGCAGCAATATTAAGTGGTGTTTGTCCATTATTGTCATTTACTTCTAAATCTATATCTGAGTGAGTTTTTAATAAATCCTGAAGAACACTTAAACTTCCATCCATTGCAAGCAAATGCAATGTATTCCTGCCATTTATATCTACTTCATATAAATTTGAAGGTAATAAGGTATTTGAATAAAGTACTGAATTTTTTTCATATTTTGGAGATGACACTAATCCAAAATTTGTTTCAAACTAAAAAAATAAATTATTTAAGCAAAATTACATTGCAATATTAGTATTTATTTTTTACCTTATTAGATTTTAAATCAACATCTGATTTAAAACAATTACTAGCTCCTTCCAAAAAATTAACAGCTCTTCTATCATAACAAGGAATTGTCAAACTATCGGCAATTTGTGCTCCACTATCAATCAACCATAGTAATGGCAGTAAATTAGTGTCAGAAAAGTTTGTCCAGACCGGTAATGGATTTACTCTTGATAAATGGTAGGCTAATTTATGAACTTCATCATATGCAGGAGGTTTTGAACATCTAGATAAATATAAGAAAGTTTAACATAATATAATCTAAAACATTTTTCTTTTTCGATTTCAATTTAAATACATTTTATTAGATAGAAATAAATACCTAAGTGTATAATGAAAAGCAATCATAGCATGTCCTTCATTTGCAGAGCATAAAAACCTTCTAGTGCAATGTTTGACATCTAGGAACCATTCTCCAAAACTGTGATGAAATTGTATTATCTTAGAATCTCTAGGTAATGAAAATATTCTTCTTAATAAGCTAAATCGTTTATGGAATTCGTCAACAGACATGTATTGGTATACAGAATGTATAATACTACTTAATTGTTCTTCTGATAAAGGTTCTGGAGATGCTAAGATAACATTTAACAAAGGTCGCACCTGAAATATAAATGATGTGTTAAATTATTTTTAAGAATTTAATTTGTATATTTTTAAAGTACTTACTTTTGAAAAATGTTTTGAATTCAAAAGCCTCTGACAAAACCATAAATACAATCCATTTAGAGTCCCAGGAATATCTTTTATTTCCCTCAAGACTACACATCCGTCAGATATTCCATCCAGTACTCTTTCCAAATAAAGAAAACAACCATTACTTTTTATGTGCAATTGATTTAACATTTCAGCTGTATCTCTACTCATGTGTTGGCGTAAAGATTCTTCTGATTCCAAACGGCTCAATATGTACTGTTGTATATCTCTAACGACCTATGAAATAATAATAATATTAAAAGTAGTTAACAAATTAATAATAATATTATTACAAAGGATTGATAAAAAAATAAATAGGCAAGTCATATAAATAACAATAAAATAGTCATACATACTTGTGATTTACGGAGATCATCTATGCAAATTTTACGAAAACCAGAGAACATACGAGCAACATTTTTATTTTGTCTACGTGTTGTACAAATAAGCATCAACCATTGGGGAAATAAATGATGATGTGTAGCTAATAGCTCTGTAATGGTTTTACTTGAATTATTCTTAAACTTTGGATCAGATCTATCGTTTGTACATAATCCTTCATCAACTGAATCAACTAAAAGAAACATTGTATGTTTTGGTAATTCAAGATCATTTAGTGGAAAAATAACAGCTTTTTTAAATGCATCATCAGCATCTTTAACTATATTGATTGGAGATAAAGATTCTTGTATTGCTGGATCAGATTTTAATCTTTCTTTGTATGATTTGGGCAATGAATCAGATAACTGTGAAACCAAACTTTGAATAAAATGTGTAACTGATAATGTATTTATATTTTGAGCTTGACAAAAATGATAAGCTAATAGTCTTCTGTTTAATGCACGTTGTTGTCTGCCGGACGGATGAACAATTTCGCAGCACAGTGAAGTTTTTCCACATCCAGCACCTCCAACTAGAAGTGCTCCACATGTTTTCCAATTGCTTCTTTGATCAAAGCAATGTAATAGTTTTTGGAATACCCATTCGCGGCAATAAAATGGTTTTTGAGCCAAATCACTTGAAGTCATTTTGTTCTGTTTGTATTCATATTAGTTAAATAATTCTTAATTCTCAATATCATAGGCCAATTTAATATTGTTAAGTAAACTTGTATTTATATGTTATACAATGTAGGTAATCTGAAACATAAAAATGTAATTCAATTTTAATCATAAGTACCTACTATTATTGAGTATATTATATTATATGTATATCTATTAAACAAGTTATAAGGTTATAATGTATATAATACATTTATAAGGTTTAGATTTTTAGAAAAACATTAAGCTGTAAAAAAATTAAATATTAAATGAAAAAAAAATCACGAGAAAAATCATGAGTAAATTTAAATGAAAACTAATTACTGAGCATGTATATTGTGTTGTATTAAGCGCCTAACACTATAAAACTATACCTTTATATTAGTATATATTACATACTAGTAAATAATGCAACAAATTTAAACTTGACTTGATCAATCAAATATAGGAAATAAACTCGGAAATAAACATAGATATAAATTTCCGAGTAAATTTCTTTGTTTAGTAGTTTTATATTTTAAAAATTTAAAACACATTATAAACAATTATAAAATTGTTTTCATAACATGCCAGTGAGGTTATCATCAATAGACCTCAGTGGAAAATTATTTTATGATCCTTGAACTTAATACCTACTTAATGAAAACATGATTTGCAATAAAAAAAAATGTATTAATAGGATGTTAATAATGCTTTATGTATATTTTATAGTAAATATGTTTGGTGTTATAATAAATGTTATAAACTACCTATTTCATAATATGCTCGATAATAGGTAAATAAATTTAAACAAAGACTAATAATATTTGTTAATAAATATAATTTAAAATTATTTTTTTTTATTTAGATAATGTCAAAATATTAGGTAAAAGCAGGGATATTACGTACCTAATACTTATTTGAACAAATGTCGGAAAAATTTCCTGTTAATAAAATCATATAAAAAAACATAATTGTACCTACATGCCTATTTTGTTAATTATTTTCTTTTATTTTTAAATAAATATATTATTTAGGTATATGTTACGTTATATAGTTACATTTTACACATCATATTAAAAAAAAATATATAATAGAAAAATTACATATACAAATTTAATCAGGTTTTAGCTAAAGGTAGGTATATTAGTCAAGAATTAAGTCCAGTTAAATTTTTTAATCGAGTTTGTTTAAGCGTCCTTTGTAAGTCATTGCCCAATTTAAATTAATCTTAATAAAGCTACCATCTTATCAGTACCCATTACCTAAGTTTTTCATATTTTTTAATAATTTCCAAGTTGACAGATTTGTATGGCCAACCAAATTGAACCTATTATCTCTCAAAATTTGTTCATTCTACTATCTAGTATGGTACTTTATAGCATTCTATATTGCAAATTAAAATTAACAACAACACCACCATCGCTGCAAAAAACTTAACCCATAACATATACTCTTTTTCAAATAAGAATGAACCGCTCGGCCGAAGAAAACTCGTTTTGTTCGCGCATTCCGGACAACAGTGGGAGCGTATGCAAGGCGGCCAGCACGATGACTGTCGACCAATCACAGAACGCATAGCCATCGCCTGGGGGGTCAGGTACTGTTCGGTGGCTCAGTCTGCATGTGCGAAACGGCTCATTCTTATATGAACAAGAGTGAATAAGAGATATCCCGGAGATATATATTATTTATAACCAAACAAACGTAACCCCCAACATAATTCTGTATTGTAATATGTAGAAATATAGCCCAAATGTAAATGTACAATTATGTTTTTTTAATATGATTTTAATAACAGGGACTATTTTCCGTAGACATTTTTTTCGTTACCTACGTAGTCCTAATTTTTTTTGTTGATAAATTGTAATTTTTATTGAAGAAACAAACTAATTCAATTTATTAATTCTATAGACTACAATTTACAATTATTTTCATTTATTTCGCTTTTATACCTAACTATAAGTATATTTCTTCTACAAATGTAACCATAATGATAACGTACAAGTCTAGATTCTAAAGTAATAAGAAATTAAAGCAATATGTTTTATATCACAACTCAAATCAAAAAATATAACAGCCAATTTTCCAGTAAATAATTAATAATAGGTAGTAATAATCACAATTAATTAGAGTCAACGAGACAACATAATATTTTACTAACCAATAGGTAGATCAATTTAGTGCATTGGCAATGTTTACAATGCAGGGTGCATGACCAAAACACAACCAACTGTTAAATTGTTCCAATGAAATAAATAGTTCACTGTTCAAAGGCTACTTGATTACATATATAAGTGCGTTCTAACACCTGAAAGACCTTAACAAAATATTTCTATTTGCTTTTAAATTAATTTTACTGGGTGACATGAAGGTGCCACACTAAAACTGAGAATTCATGTCTCGCTATGGTTGTTCTGTACCTTTCCAACACAAAGTCACTCAAACCACAATTATTATTTTCCCATGATGTTGATATATTGTAATATAATATTGTGTAATAATTAGAATAGTACAACCCACCAAGATGGTATTCATGATGAATCAAAACTTATGACTCATGTTACTATTAAGATTGTACATTCCTTCCTGTCATATATTACCTACTCATAATGTACAGTCGTACAGATTATCAGAGCCCGTAGCACATTTGAACCATTCCAAATAAACCAAAAACATACCAAATATATGCCTACTCTACGAAAGTGCCAAATATACTTTGTAACATCAAAAATCATATGAATTTAGTATAGGTACCAGTTTTTATGAGCTTGGTATCATTGAGACAAATTGAGTACCTATTGAGTTAATAGTATTAAAATATGTAGGTGTGTGTTGCAGGTGTCAAACGATGAGTGTTGGTTAGAACTATTAAACATAATCTTTATTTTTTTAAGTGAACTGAGCCCAGCGCCTCTGAACCTTAACGATACCACCCACCCGTCCAACAGACAAAATGTTGACATTAAACGTTCGGCAGTGTGCCATGCTTACCTCGCAGATGACGGTCGACCGAGACAACAGATAATCAGACCAGCACGGCACAGAAGGTAGCATGACGATCGACGTAAACGAAACACTGAGTGGCTGGCTGACGGACGTTGTATCTCGGCGAAACGGTTGAACGGGAAAACCCGGCGGATCGACGTCTTGCTTCTGACAATGTCTGAACAAAAACGACTAACTAGTGACTGTCTACACGCGCGCAACGTTATCGTTCAGACGCGGTTTGATTCCATCCGTCGCCGACCGAGTAAACAAAAACAAAACGGAATGGGGAAAAAAAAAAAAACAAAACTAAATTAATACTCGCTGATTAATATCACCGCCTCCTTCCCCGCACCGTCCGAACGATGTCGGTGTACTGTATTTTGTGTGTGTGTGACCGAATGCGCACTACGGTGGTTTCTATCGGCGGCGGCTGTAGTCACAGTAATCGGCTGAGCGGTGAGTCGTCGACGGTGGGGGCGTCGGTAGTGAGGAGTGAGGACGGTGGAAAAAAATTTCAAACGTGTGATATCCGCCGCCGCCGCCACTGCTGCTGTATAAAATCCAGTGATCGTACGGGTGCGTGTGCGTGCGCGCGAGCGTTGGGTTCTGCGACATGCGAGCGCGGTGAGTAGCGGGGCAGCAGCAGCTGCAGTGGTGGTGAGGTGAGTGTTGTTGTTTGAAACGTCAAGCCGCCGCGACCGCCTCCGCCCACCACCTCTTTCGTCTTATCATCGTACGCCGAGCCAGCCGTAGTGAGTGGTTGTGACTATATATTATTTTTGTTAGTTGCGACGCCGCGACGGAGCGCCCATAGACTGTAGCCGCTAGCCCCCATGACAAAATGTGTTAATAAAATATTTTTTGTCATGATAGCCAACATAGGCCTGTAGTAGACGTAATTTATCGATTGCTGCTCGATGAGACTCGAGAAAATTAGTAAAAGCGAGGAAGCGTTATTTTTGCGTTAATAATAATACTCGCTGTTGTACAATTTTTTTCGTACCGTCAACGTAGGTATTTCGTGTAGTCTCTGGTTAGCGTTCAGAATTTTCTAGTTGCCTATAACCTATTCACCAAATTCAATACCTACTCAATAAAACGATTACACTAGTCATTAATAAAATAATAACTACCTAACCATATTGATTATTGAGAAGTATATAGGGTCCTAGTCGAATATTTTTGAACTACTTGGTGTATTATGGTAACGAATAAACCAAGGTGTCAATTCACCTTGATGTAAACCATACAGTTAACACGGAATACGGTTACACTATTACACTTCCGTGAATTTCATTCATAGGTGAATCAATATTAAAGGAGCACACAACACAAATAAAAATATTCTTTAAATTTTTTTTAAATGTTAAATTATTGTAGTTATGGTCATATGAAATGATTTTGTGAAGATACGATGTAAAAAAAAATATTACTTTAAGAGATATTAAGAGAATTCGTTACACTAATGACAATACCACGTATCTACATTTTACCAATTGTTCAGGAGAGTGAAAAAACTGAATAAATATTAACAAATATTATACACCTAATTTTTTTTTCAAGTTTAAATTTAAGTTATGATTTTTTGACATTATTTTTAATAAAATTCTTTAAATTTGGTTGCTGTTTAAATTTTAGTGTAGTTACGTGGTATTTACTAAAGTTTTTGTGAGATACGTGTTATTGAGCAGTGTTTTTATATGGTTGAAATTTATAAAAATACTAATAGTAGTTCCTAGTATAATATTATTAAATAAATATTACAATATTATTTATTAATGTTTATACTCATTTTAAAAATATGGATAAATAAAAAAAAACATTCATACAAATCAACATAATATCAATGTGTAGCTTCTTGCTTACTTTTATTTAAATAGATTATTAAAAATTAAAAAAATTAAAATTAATAAAAAAAAACTTTGAAACAAAATAAAAAAAAACAATATTTAACAATAGTATTTAAGTATTTTCATTTTAACAATTAACAGTCTTTTGTATTCTTATGTTATTTAAAA